GGCTATTTTTTGGTTGCAGCCATCATTGTTGTTTGGTGGGCCCGGGCTGGATTTGAACCCGCCACCTTAGGTGTATGTGGCTGGCGCCTCGGCCACTTGAGCCACAGGCGCCGAGCCCTCACACTTTTCTATAACTAGTCAATGTCCTGAGAGATCCCATCCTGTGCCAAACTCACATTCTGTAAGCACACCTGTGCATATGCGCACTTACCCACGTGCACACACACAACATCTTGCATTCAGTCATGAGGAGTAGTACTCACAACAATCTTGCCACCAGGCCCCTGGCTCCGAACACTGACTCCCAACCACTGGTTCTCCTTGCTTTCCTTTTGCACATCAGCTGGAGACAGGACACTGGGAATTAGGGGAGAGAAAAGGAGGCCAAGTCCTCTCCTCCCTCCTCACAGGCTTCCCCCACTCTCCCTGTGTAGGGCCTCACCTCCCTGGTCAATGTCCACTCTGTAGCAGTCGGTCTCCTCCAGGCTCAGCGGGCAAGCAAACAGGCCTCCGGTGCGATTCGCCTGCTGCCCAGGAAGAGCCAGGGCCTGGGGAGCACCTACCAGCAGCCTGCAAGATGTGGCGGGGGCAGGAGTTCAAGGTCAGAGTGGTCAGACTGCCATGGAGCTGCCCATACCCAACTGCTCAGTACCAAGGAGAGTGTTCAAGGACTAAAGAAAGGGGGGAGTCACTTTTCTCAAATCCTGGCAAGGGGCTCGGCGCCTGTGGCTCAAGCCGCTAAGGCGCCAGCCACATACACCTAAGGTGGTGGGTTCGAATCCCCAGCCCAGGCCCGCCAAACAACAACAATGATGGCTGCAACCAAAAAATGGCCAGGCGCTGTGGCGGGCGCCTGTAGTCCCAGCTACTTGGGAGGCTGAGGCAGGAGACTTGTTTGAGCCCAGGAGTTGGAAGTTGCTGTGAGCGTGATGCCATGGCACTCTACCCAGGGAGATAGCTTGAGGCTCCATCTCAAAAAAAGAGAAAAATCCTGGCAAGGACAAATTAACATAATTAGCCATGTGATCACCACATTACACAGGCAAACACTCTAGGGATGAGGGCCTGACACATATAGTTATTCACAAATATACACACACCAACCCCAGCAGCCGGGCCAGCACAGCTAGTTTGAAAGAACCGCCTGTTCCCAGCACCTGTTCCTGACCAGGCCTTCCCTACCCCTTCCTTGGCCCCATCCCCAAGCTCTGCCCTCCTCTCCAGCCCCAGTCCAGTTGAAACCCTTCCAGAAATGCCAAGAATGCTGGGAGCAAAAGTAACAGGGACCCAGACTGGCACCAAAGTGTGGCTCAGGGACTAGCTTCAGAAGTCAGGCAAGAGGCTGGGTATAGACATACCCTCATCAGGGGCCCAGCAAAGACCCCCCTCCCAGCAGTTATCAGTCACTCTGGCTGGCATAGAGGTAGTGACAAATTTCTCATTCTGTCTCAGGTCCTACTCCTATTCTCCTCCTCACACCCTGAATACCCATGCCCATCCTTCCTTCTCCTCCCCACACCCATGATCTTCTCCTTGCCTCCCACCCCCACCCCCACCCAGTCTTCTCTCCCGCCTCCCCCACAGACACTTTCCCAGCTACAACGTTCTTGGCAGGACAATTTTCCATGATGACAGCCAAGGCATCTTCCCCAGGGGAGGACTGTGCTGGGAATGGAGGCTGCCTGGGTCCCTTGGGGCTGAATCCCCAGGCCAGGAGCGAAGGTAGGGGTGAGGTGAGGTGACTGACACCCAGCTGGCTATATGGGTCCTCTCTTTGCAGAAGGAGAGACTCAAAAGTGACAGCAGAACAAACTTCAAGGTCTCTAACCCACACTCTTCTCCACCTCCCTTCCAGGAGGGAAAGGCTCACACTGTGTTGGGCAATGTTGCAGACAGGCATCTGTGGGGCACTATGCCAGATGCCACAGGGTGGAAGGGGAGGGCACAAAGCCATTCTCCCATCCCACAACTCCACCTCATCTCTTAGCAGCTGTCATCCCATGTCAGAGGCAGTGTCAAGAGAGAGAAGGGGGAGGGGAAGCGGTAGGGAAGAGAACTGACATTCGGTCTTCATTTAACAACTATTTTTCGAGATCCTATATGCCAAGCCCTGAGTCAGGCACTGCTGAGTCAAGGAAATAATATTTACTCAGCACCTACTCAGAGTTAGGCTCTAGACTAGACATCACGGATATTAGGAGCTAACATTTATCACTGTCCACCTATGTGCCAGGCACCAGGCTAGACAAGTCACATGCATTGTCTCATTTAGTCTTCACAACAATCCTATGAGATAAGGATTCTTTTCTTGTCTTTCAGATGAAGAAAATCACTCAAAGACTTTAAATAACAATCTGGGATTCTGCCTAAATCCACATCTGCCTAACTCCAAAACTTTGTCACTCTACCTAATGACTGGCTATCTCTAGAACGCCACTATCTCTGGACCCCACTCCAGAAAAGGAAGACAAGAAAGGGTAGGGGAGAGTATCCCGAGCAGAAAAGAAAACTGGGTGACATGGCCCCGTGCAAACAAATGCTAGTCTTCAAACACGTCAGCAGTGCCCTCAACCCCTGAGCACAGATGGAGCTATCTCTTGGAGGACTGGAATCTTATTAATCTTTGTGCTTGCCCCATAGAACGTGTCACCCATACTTTACGTGGACCCACAGAGACACCCATTGCCTCAACCGGTCAGTGCACAGCTGGGCATGCAAGGAAGCTCCATCCCCCCTCACAGAGGCCAAAAGAAGGGGAAAGGGGAGGGGCCCATATGGAGGAAAGAAGCCGTGTATGCTCAGCTCTGCTCTAGGTCCAACTAGAGTCCAGCCAACCTTCCCAGGAACAAAGCACCCACATACAGCCTCTCCAGTCCCTCCACCTCTGCCCCAGCCACACACTCCTTCCTGGCTTCATCCCTCGAGCACCAGCGACCCCGACCCTACCGGCAGAACAGTAGCCACAATTGCAGGGCGAAAATCAAAAAAATATTGGCAGCTGGGGGCAGTGGTAGCCCTGGGAGCCCAGCTTAGTGGAGGCAAAACAGCAGCCCCCCCACCGCTGTACTTCTTCACTCTGCACACCCACCAGGGCTCTGGCCCTTTCTGACCCCTCTCAACCTGGGTGGCCCTTTGAGGAGGGTGCTTGGCCTGGAAGGTTGGCTCAGCCTGAGAGGCCCCCTAGCCAAGCTCTGGATCCAGGATGGCTGCAAGGCACTCAGGCTGCACTCTAGCTCTGTGAATCACAGTAGGAGAAGAGCAGTACTACTGACGCTGTCACAGCGCTGGCTGTGGTTGTGCACTATTCTGAGCATTTTACATATGGTGAGAACTCTCAGTCCTCACAACAACCCTGCGTGGTAGTACTATTGTTTATCTCTATTTTACAACTGAAGGTAATAAATGAGGCTGAAACCACGGAGCAAAGTAAAGTTAGACCTAAAAGTCTTATCCCAGAGCTAAACTGAAAGCCAACAAAACAGGTGAGAAATGTTTCTATGAGTGAGTGCTGAGACAGGTGACCCGCTAGGGACCCAGCAGATACTTGACCTCCCACCAGCCGCCAAACAACAGAGCACCCCCTGGTGGAGCAAAAGCAGGGTTAGGTAGTCATGCCCCTCTGGGAATGCCCCCAGCTTGGCTCTGGGAGACAGAATCAGGGGCCACCTTCAGAGAGGAGTGGGAAATGACAAGAGATCAAGCTATTAAAAATAACCTAGAATTTGCCTGGAAATAGCTCAGAGATTTGAGCATGTCCTAAAAAGGCCTCCAGTCCTGGAACTCTGGCAGATGGGAGGAGGAGGGAGGGAAGGAGGGAACAAGAATGAGAGAGAAAGCGTATGGCAGAGAGAAGAGAAGGTGAAGTCAGTTGCTTTCTATCTCCCCTAAAGTTTTTGGGACTACTCACCCAGCTACTAAATGATAGGGATAATTCAAGAAGAAGGATTAGAGCTAGCCTCCACTCCCTGCAGACTAGGAGAAATGAGCTCTGGTCCCTGGTCCCTGCCCCCATCCAATAGTAGGGGGGATAGACAGTCCCAGAGGACAGCATTGATCCCGGTAATGGACACTTAATGTGACTTAGGCACTGGATGAAGAGAGAAAAGCCCCCTGGCAGGAGCAGGTGGGAAGCTTTCTTCCCCTTCTTGCCTCTCTTTTTACAATTGCATGTGTTGGAAGAGTGAGGGTACAGGAAGCATGACCAGTCACTGGCCTCACACAAATGTACATCCATCTCCCATGGGTCCCAAACTGATTAGAAAATAACTAGAACTGTTCTCTGCCTCCTTGCTCCTCCCTCCCTTTTGCTACTGCTGAGATTCCTGGAGTTGGAAATCTTCTCCGCAGGAGGAAGGAGAGCAGCCTGGCCAGCATCCTTCCTGGATCTCCCTGTGCTACTGGCGCTGCTACTATAACGACTCCAGGGGCTCGGTTTTCTGCCATTCCCTATCACCAAACCACCTACGTCGGGTTGCCAGACCCTCCACAATTCTCTCTCAATTTTCTCGTGATTTCAAGACACAGAAGTGGTTCTCTCCTGGCCTCCCAGTGTCCTGCTGCCCTCACCCCATCCCATGGCAGAAAGTTATTTCTGGAGTCTACCCTTCATCCCTCCCATAGTACCTTCAATCTCTCTATCCTTTCCCTCTCTTCGTGTCCTAGGCAGAGACAGGCTTGTCCGTCTCCTTCTCTGGGGCAATTCAGCCCTGAGAGGAAGGGGAGCCAGCCAGAGACCCTGGAGCTGGAGCAAGGATTCAAGTTGAGAGTAAAGGTAGAAGGACATAATTCCCTGCCAAGACGAGAACCCTGGTCTCCAACTCATACTCAAAGCAAGATCCTAGGTCTCGGGCCTGGGGGTGACTCTCCAGACCAACCAAGGAAGATGAGGCAAGGATCCAGGTTGGGACATGGTTGTCTGTGGGTAGTCTAAGTCTTGATGGGGCAGGAAGATTGAAAAGTGTCCAAGAAGCGCAGAAAGGGGTTATCTGTGGCTCGGGCATGGGAACTTAGGGCGGGTGCGGTGACTCACCAGCTTTGGGGTCGGGGCTGTAACTGCCTGTGCAGGGCCACAGAGAAGCCGAAAAGGCTGCCTGGCTCGCCCTCCTTGCGCAAGGCGCCCATCACGTCCAGATTGAAGGCGACAGCCCGTGAGAAGAGCAGTCCGGCGAGCAGGGAGCCCAGAACATAGCAAATCCCAGAGGCTCCCCAAGGATCGCGGCTCCGAGTCCCGGCCATGGGGACCCACCCCGCGCGCTCTCCCCGCGAATGCAAGGAAATTCTCCCGTGCCCCCGACCCCAGGACTCCCCAGGCACCGCTCCGAAGTGGTCTCTCAGGGGTCTCCCGATCTTACGCCCCTCCAGCCCTCCAGCTCCCGCCGGTCCGCCTCCAACTAAGGCAACCACGGCAGCCGCCGCTCGGGCGTGCACTGGGGCTCCCGCCTCCTCTCCCGGGACACCGCCCAGGCCCCGCCCTCGGCCCCACCCCTGGGTCCAGCGGCAGGTGGAGACCCGAGCGCGTCGCCCAGGGATGCCCAGGCTGGAAGCTCGGGGCTGGACCTCCCCTTGCTCCCCGCCCCGCCTTCCGTCCAGCAGCAGGTCCGCCCCGCCCCCCCGCTCCCCGGGCGAGAGGCGGAGGGGGCGCCTGGGAAAACCGAGGGGGAGAGGAGGGGCCTAGAAAGAGGAACGAAGGTTAGAGGACAACCTGGGTCGAGGGATGAGCGGATAGAAAAGAGAGGAGATAAACGGGGAGCGGTCCTGGACCGGGGTCAGGTGCGGTCCCTTGGTGTTCTCTCCTCGTGGTCACACAGAACAGCTCTTATACTGTCCGCGTAGGACCACTTCCCTCCCATATCATCGCATCCCTGACAACAACGGCAAGTCTGGCCACGCCAGTTAGCATTCGAGGGAGCAGAGGAAAAGCCAGCGACACGAAGAAAGAAAAATTCGGAAGGTGTAGGGAGGGGAACAGCCGGAGAAATAAGGGGAGGATGAAGAGGGAGAAAGGAGGGTAAAAGTTTGATCAATGAGGGATGGAATGAAGGGAGAAAACCAGAAAAAAAGACTGAGGGTGAGACAGGAAAAGCAAATTAAGCTGAGCAAGGGGGATGGGAGTATAAAAGAAGGGCAAAGATAAAAAAAGGCCGGACCCAAGAGACAGGGATGTAAAGGGTGTCTCCAGCGCCCAGATCTTTAGCAAAATTGTATATTTCCCGTCCTTCAAGACTGGAGGAAAGGGGAGAGCACAGAATCCGGAGCTGGCCCAAGTAGGATCGGGGTGGGGCTGAGAAGGGATCTCCACAGGGACCAATGACCTGCCCCTCTTCCTCTCCCTTTCCTTCAGGCTAGGAGGCTGGGACAGAGGTGGGGCATTTTCCAACTTTTTGCTGTTTATAACTCCACTCCAGAAGTGGGGGGCCCAGAGGAGAGAGAGAACATAGTTGGGCACTTCAGGAAACTCGCTGCTCCACTTTCTACTTTTCCCTCTATACTGGTGTTGGTCTGTATCCCTCCGTCCATCTTTCCCTTCTCTCTGACACGATCTGGTTTTTTCTCATCCCAAATTCTATTTTTGTCCCCCTTCTTGTCTCTGTCGCATTTGGAATCTTTTCTCAGACTATTTCTCTTTTTTTTTTTTTTTTTTTTAGACCGAGCCTCAAGCTATCCCCCAGGGTAGAGTGCCATGGCATCACAGCTCACAGCAACCTCCAACTCCTGGGCTCAAGCGAGTCTCCTGCCTCAGCCTCCCAAGTAGCTGGGACTACAGGCTCCCGCCACAACGCCCGGCCATTTTTTTGGTTGCAGCCATCATTGTTGTTTGGCGGGCCGGGCTGGGGATTCGAACCTGCCACCTTAGGTGTAGGTGGCTGGTACCTTAGCGGCTTGAGCCACAGGCACTGAGCCCAGGCTATTTCTCAATGTCTGTAATGTTGTCTCTGCTTCTCAAACACCATCATATTCCTGTGATTCTCCCTTCACCTTCCCTTTCTTGAAAGCTCCAGTATGTGTCCTACCTAATTTTTCTTTGTCTCTCTTATTTCTTCATTTACTATGGTACTTCTTTACTGGGGTGGGGGGGAACAGGTGGGATCTCACTCTGCTGGCCCTGGGGCAGTCCTTGCCCTAGATAAATTAACATACATTTGAAGGTTTGACCCTGAATTTCTGCTAAGCTACACCTGTGGCTGTCCCCTCCAGAGCCCTGTCACATCAGGTGCTATGAAGGAAATACATGTGCTGCCAGCAGCCAAGCATTCTACTTTTATTATGCCCCAGATATGCCCTCCCCATCCCTTTTGTATACTAGAGCCCTAGACAGTAGAGAAGAGCTGATAGGAGAAGGCAGAACAGCATAGTCAGGGACTCCAGACCCTCAGCCCAGGCCTCCAACCTGGGTCAAAATGCCTTAAAACTGAAGCTGCCTTTCTCTCTGCACCTGCAGCTTCTGCCTGCCTCCATCTCCAGGCCATCAGCTTCTGTAATCAGAGGCTGAAATCTGATGCCAAGAATTTACTTCTGACCTCCTCTGCCAAAATATTTGAGAAGTCACCTCACCCACCACAGGAGGAAGAAGCAGGAAAGAAGAGAGAGAGAGGCCACCCAAAATTAGTCTGGCTATAAATAGTGGGGCAAAGGAGGGCGGGGAACACACAAGAGCTCCAGACCAGCCTAGTAAATTTAGATTTTCCCAAAAGGAGAAGTGAGACCAGAATGTTGGAGGGGAAAATAACATTGTAGGTGAAGAAGGAAATTTAGAAACTAGAAGGATCTAGATAATGGAGGAAACTCCGCATTAAAATAGATAACTTGCTAGATAACTTATTGTACTTAAGAGCTTAGGAATTAGTTAAATTAAAAACCAATGCAGGCTCGGCGCCTATAGCTCAACCGGCTAAGGCGCCAGCCACCTACACCTAAGGTGGCGGGTTCGAATCCCCAGCCCGGACCCGCCAAACAACAATGAT